AACAGGAGTACTTGTGGCACCTTAGAGACTAACAAATTTATTAGAGCATAAGCTTTCGAAAGCTTATGCTCTAATAAATTTGTTAGTCTCTAAGGTGCCACAAGTACTCCTGTTCTTTTTATTAAGAAGTCCCTCCACTAAGAAAAAAAACCCGCAAGAGAGTTGTCTTGCTTTCCAGCATGTACTGAAAAAGAACTTGCACCAGAGGAAGTAAAAATGATCTCAAATAAAGGTAAATAAAATGGGGAGCAGGACATTACACAGACACTAGGCCAGAGCTCTTTCTTTTCAGCTAATGATGCTTTAACACAGAGGTTCTCAAACTGTGGTCCATGGACCACCAGAGGTCCGTGAGCTCCATTCAGGTGATATGCGGATAGTTCCCTCAAAGGTGTGCGCCAGGGCAGCTGCACATGAGAAAATAAAGTGCCATCCACCTAATTAGTGGAGCCGCGCAGGCCTGGCTCCACTAATTAGGTGCCTGGACCCTGGAGAAGATGCACATGTAAAGTGAGGTGGTGGCCTTGGGGGGAATAAGGGGTAGGTGGGAGGGGGCAGTGGGGTGAGAAGAGGGGGTGGGGGAGAATTTGGGACATGCAGGGCTGCGGCGGCCAGAGAAAGAGGCGACTTTCCCCAGCTCCAGGGCTGTGGCTGCCGGGGAGAGATGGCCCTCCTTCCCAGCCTCAGCTGTGTGGCGGGAAGAGCCCCAGCTCGGGGGCTGCCGCAGCCGGGGAGAGAAGGCACATCCATCACATTAGAAAGGTAAGATTATGGATATTAAAATATGAGTTGTGTGCTTTCAGGAAAAAATGTTATACATTTATTAATTTTAACCAAGCAAAACACCCCAAGAAGTTAACAGTACATGGATCCTTTGTTTTATTTTTAAAATATATACTGAACTATTTATCATGGTATCCATTTTCTTTTAATCGATTACAAAAAAAATAATAATCGAAGTACTTTATGAGCCCCCTATCACTATTACATCGAAGCAACTAAGGGCCTGATTCTTCATTCCTTCCTTCCCATTTCTGAGCAGAGGGGAGTGAGACAAGGGGTGGCGGTGGACGATAGGAATGTGGACTCCCCAGCATGCTTCCCTTTTTTCTGTTACTATTAAATCCTCTCGGCAGCTGCCCTGTAAGGTTCATGCTCTGCTGATCGGGAATGGGCAGGGAAGGGGAAGTCAGCTGCAGTCTGCACCGTATTTCACATCCACAATCAATTTTGCAGGTGCCAATGACTGAACTTCATTTCTACCTCCAATGTACCTACAAATCAGATAGTTAGAGGTCCATGTCTACCCTTTGCACATGCATGTGAATGAATTCAGTTGATTGTGGCTGAAAAATTACAGGGTAGGCCAAGGGGTTTTGGAAAGTGCGGGCTTTTGCTTCTCAGAGACTGTATCTTGCAGTATCTTAGGTGTAACTCTTGAATGAGTGACTGATGCAAGTACAACCGAGGCCTGTCAGAGCTAGTTTTGCATTCTTTCATCAAAATATTTCAGGGCAGCAAAAAACCTCCCTGTCGACATCTCCTTATGTGCAAAACTGGATTTACTGGCTTCACCATGGAGAACACATCTGCACATCTCCACCTCCCAAAGCTTCTGCGCAACAGTTACATAAACAGAGCGTACATCTAACGTGTGAGAGAAGCAGCATGCCAATATCTGGCCCAGTACTGTCTTTATATATGAGCTGAATTTTGCAAGGCTTGACCAAAGAATACAAATATGTTGTTTAGAATTGCAGTATCAGAGCAATTGCCATTGTGCATCAGGCCATGTAAATCCAATATCCGCTTCTCTCCAACAGTGGAGAGTGTTGGATGCCTGCAAGTAGAGGACGGTATTTAAAAAACCAACTAATGTACAACTAATATGCAACAACATGCCCACAGGGGAAAGTTTCTTAAATCCAGTGGTTGGCTTATGTCCTGAAGCATGGGGGTAAATCATCCCTTCATTTTTACCCTAGCCAGTGTAACTGTGGATATTCATATTCTGCATGTTTAATCCTCTTGCATACTACTATGCATTTTGACCTACCTTTTCAGAAGTGACTAGTGATTTTGAGTGTCCCATGTGAGGTGCCTTAGAGGGGTCTGATTTTCAGAGGACGGGTGCTCCACAATTTCTAAAAACCAGGCTCCTTTACAGTGTTCTCAAGTTAAGTACCCAAAATCACTAGTGTCACTTTGACTCAGAGAAGCAAGGGCCTACGTTTTCTAATGGGAGTAGGAGCAGAGGGCACTCGGCACCTTGCAGATCAAGCTCTGGATGAAAAAATAATACCAGTTTTAAGACTTGATCAAATGTCAAACCAATGTGATGATCATGATCTTATTCATACATAGTGAAATGAAATATGGCTGCTTGTTCATTTGAATTGTTAGCATTATGTACTGATTAAAAACATTCCATAGCACCCTTGTTACAACCAACCACTTATATCTGTGCTATTCCTTTAGCCATTGGGGAGAACAAAAGCAGCTTATAATTAAATAAGCATCATACTGAAGCTTTTTAGATTTATACTGTTTGCTAGAATCTGAATAAAACCCATTTTTAGAAGTATGCCAGTCACAAAACATTATGCTTGTATTTTGAAATATATTCCAGACAACAAATATAACCAAGTTCTGCTTGCATAAGCAGATCCAAAGCCATATTGATTTGAAGCTGCAGTCTTATGTGACGACCTCGGTACAGATGTTCTCATTCAAAATGGAAACATCTGCATGTTAAATTTTACCACTGAAACACCCAATGAGCATTGAGACCCAGAAACAACAGGTATGGAACAGAACACAGAAGAATTATTAGAAGCTTAACAACAATTATCACCTCAGCAGCTTGCAGCCAATTGACATCAACAGTATGAGAAGCATCTTAGATGGGGGAAGAGTTTTAAGGTGAAGCATTTAAATAGCTACACCAACATTTTCAAAACTTGGGTACCTAAAGTCAGGCACCTAAACCCATATTTAGGCACCTAAATAAGCGGCCTGATTTTCGGAGGTGCTGATCACTCACAGCTCCCATTGACTCCAGTGGGAACTGTAGTCAATTTAGGGAATTTAGCACCTCTGAAAAAAAAAAAAAATCACTTATGGTTCAGTCCTACTTCCATTGTAGCTGTTGGCAGTTTTGCCACAGGTGCTTATATGTGCGCCTAGATAAGGATTTGTGCATCTGTATTTTCCCTCCATGTGAAAACACTGACCATGGTACTAATGCCCATGATAAAGTATAACTAGACATCCATGCTGCTATTGGGGTTTTCCTTTGTTTTTTAAAGAGAGAAACAAGTATGTGCTTCTCTTTTTTCTGTGTTGGGCTAGAATCATAAAAAGCTCCTTCTTCTTGGCAGTCCGAGAAGCAGGAGAACAGCCACCCACATTGAGGGCTAAAGGCTTTGCACATTTTTACACAAGTCAATCTTCTCCATCGAAAAAATCCATGGTATACGCTGCGTCCAGCCAATCTCAAGATTGTTAACAATCCACCATCACGGTGAAATCTATATTTACATAAATAGAATATTTTGTAGCGAAAATAACTGATGGAGACCAATAGTCAACAATAGCTAACCCTGCCCCCAAGATCAAAGCCATGTTATTTGCCTTTCTTCATTTTTGCTGTCTTCTCTTTTCGCTTCTTCACATGCTTTGGGATTTTGTTTTTTCTCTTCTCTCTTTGGGCTTCTTTAACCATCTTTTTCTTTTCCTATAAAAAGTGAACAAGACTTCATTTACAATAACGATCCAGAGCAATTGTGAGCAAGTTCTTAACACGTGATATGTTACTATTAGAAAAGGTAGAGGGGGGAAGTTAAGCAATTTTGGCCCAGGCTTTCAAATGCTGTATTAGGAAATTAAATGAACTCCACATTTCTAGAGATGAGACTGATCCACAAAATCCAGTTTCCAAATTTCAGAGGAGTTTGAAGCCAGGAAGTTATGGTGGGAGCAACTGCTGAACATAGCAGATTACGAAGGGGATGAGAACTCATAGTATTTAATTTGTAAATTCCACTATTAATACAAATGGTAATAGGAATCTGATGCATGGCTTTCCGATATCCAGGCTGGACTACTGCAATGAACACTTTCATGCACTGCCAAGAGAGACCAATCCATCGCCTGCAATGAGCTCAGAAGGCAGCAACTTGATCATCATCAGAGTTGAAGGGAGGGGATTTGATACCACAACACTATGCAGCACTAAGTCCAGGGGTGAATGCTACTTTATCTCACTGAGACCACAGCTGCAATTTAGCTAAACAGAATATAATTCAAACTGGGATCTGACCAATACAATGTGATTAACTAACATCCCATCCTACAAAAGAGAAAAAGGAATGATGGTCAGAAGTGGCCAAGAACTCTCCATTTTACAGCACAAAGACAAATCCTAGCCCCAAGAATTTCACCATGGCACAGCCACTGCAGTTCAGATTTTTAGGCTCAATGTTAATTATCTCATCTTTTATGACACTTTAATCCTTTTGAACTGCATGGAGTTTTCCCTTCGTGCAGCGCCTGGAATGCTGCTAAAGGGTAGGGACACTCAGTGAAATTTGCTAAGGTCTCTGACCCACTGGAGTGGATCCACTGTGCAGGGTTCAGGAAGCCACAGAGCTGACTCTCAGGAAGATTCTATACCTAGTGCTCAGGCAGAGCTGGGCTCCAAAACCCAACTCTACATAAACCCTTATGGATGAAGCCGGGTCCACGGCCACTGGGTCCACAATTATATAAAGTGGGCAGGGGTCATGGCCCCTCTTCCAGCCCAAGAGCTAGAAAACACGCTGTAGAATTGTGCTGTGCCCTGTCCACATCGGATTCTGTTCCCCACATCTCGGGTGGAGTTCCCCACACAAAGCTTATGTATTCTGGGTTTGGGGGTGGGTGGGTAAGTGTAGGTTAAATGTTACTCTATAGAAACTACATTAGCAAAACCCAAGAGAGCACTTCAAATAACGCTTCATTGGGGACATTCAATCTCTGCTCTCATTTCTCTTAATTAAAATACTCAAAAGAATAAATTAAAAGCTTTTTTGTTCTCACTGAGCAGTAGATATGTAGAAAAATAAATATATTTGTCACTTGAGTAGCTCCCTGGAGCAGAGAGGGAAAGTGTATGACTTCCTGGCCAACTGACCTTTTTGTCCATGCCAGCGTCAGTAGGTTGATCTTTGGGATGCAGTGGCTCTCCCTGTTCTTTACAGCCTGAGTCAGAGTTATCAGAACTGCCCCCATCTTCTGAATCTGATTCTATGTCGTCTTCTTTTTTTTCAAGGAGTGCGGGGACCTAAAGGAAACACAGAAGGATTTTGTCCCTAATCAAAAGTCGGTGGAACAACAACAACAAAAAAGATGTAGCATTTAAGTGGTAGAGCATCCTAGAAAGGAAGCCTTCAGCTAATTTGTGTTTATCCACTTCTCCACGAACAATGTGCCTCTAGACACTAGTATTAAAACTACAAAAAAAGAGAATGAAACAAAATTAATCCAAGTTAAAAACAAAGGGTACAGTAAACAATGGAAATACAGCTTGTCTGGGGACTTGGGGTATGTCTATACTTACCTCCGGGTTTGGCAGTAAGCAATTGATCTTCTGGGATCGATTTATCGCGTCTTGTCTAGACGCGATAAATCGATCCCGGAAGTGCTCGCCGTCGACACCGGTACTCCTGCTCCGCGAGAGGAGTAGGCGGAATCGACGGGGGAGCCTGCCTGCCGCGTGTGGATCTTTGGTAAGTACCTTTAAGTTCGAACTAATGTACTTCGACTTCAGCTACGTTATTCACGTAGCTGAAGTTGCGTATCTTAGTTCGAACTGGGGGGTTAGTGTGGACCAGTCCTTGGTTACAAAACAGCTGCACCGCTACCTCCCCACCACACAGAGTTAAAGTACCATTCAGTTCTGTGGTGTACACAGGACCTTGGTGTTTTTTTATTTTTTTTTAAGAATCATACCAATGCCAGTTTTAGCAGTCACCCACCTGGGCTTTAGCAGTAACAGTCAGGCATCTACAATGCAAAACAGAGCTGTACTTTAATCATACTGGGGAACAAACGTGTTATAATCTGGTCGCTTGACATGGTTATATTTGCACTGTAGACAGGGTCTGCCTAGTGCTGTTTAACTAACCAAAAAAGGAAAAACCCAACCTGGCTCCTGCAGTAGCAGGATATCTGCAATCACTTACAGACTGATTAGTACAGCATTTTTATCCAGTGTGTTTTTAAATTACTGCACTGCAACATTTCCATTAGTTAGTACAATGCCCTATTCTGCATAAATGCTCTATGTACAACAATTACAGCACAAGTCACACAAAACGTAACAACACTTGTGATGATGTAGCATTCTATATAAAGTAAGTTTTCTGCACTGGGAAATCTTTCCCCCACCTTCCTAAATGTAGATCTGGCCATATGTTGTATCTTCCTATACTGACCATCTATCTGGTGGCTCCTTGAGTATTTTTGTTCCTGAGTTACTCCAGCACTGGCTGAGTAATGCAAAGTCATTCCACATACTGCACCACATGGTATGCAGGTACACAGTGGTGTAAAGATGAGATCTTAGCCCCTGATCTTGCAACTGCCTCTGTGCTGGAAGAACCTGCAGTCAGCCCTTCTGAAATCCGGGGACTGCCTGCATGGAACCAAATGCAAGACCAGGCCTTATTTAATACTTCTCATGCACCTTTATAACAATGAAATTCACTATAGAAGAAAAACTTTACAACAGGCCTTCTTACCTTCTGAACACCTGACAAGTCCTTCTTCAATCCTGTCACCGTCTGGTAGAGAATCTATACAAGAGGATAAATGAAAATCAATTATACAAAAACATCTAGCTGCAAAACTATCATTTTCAACCTGCCAACCAGAGAAAACGGGTGGCTGACTGTATCAGGTGTGGCTGTTTTCCAGTACCGCCCAGAGAGCTCTCTGCGCACAGGAGGTAGATTTTGCACATCAGGTTTTAGAAACTAGAGATTCCCTAGGCCTGACCTCCATTTTTTGAGATCAGAGTCTGTTCCCTGTGAATCTTCTGTACAGAGAAACTTCACAAAATGTACACGGAAGAGCTGAGAGGGAGAAGGCACAGCTCTTTCCTGTAAAGCCTTAGAAGGGTTTGTCTTATTATCAGCTCACTAGCATCATCATCATCATCATCATCATCCATATGGCAGTAGTGTACAAATGTGTTAGGCACTGCACAAACACACAGAAAGACAGAACCCCACCCTACAGAGTTTGCAGTCTAAAATGACAAAACAGAAGAAGGGTGGGGGACAGAGCTATGCCGCCGTTATAAACTATGCTGTCTATATTTTGCAAGCAATCTGGTGATTTGGCTTTTTCTTGGCACTATCCAGAATGGGAAGATCATCTAGAAAAAGGACAAATAATACCGTTTCAATGCATGTAGTACAGCCAATATGCTCCAATGCACTGATGGTACTTCTTAAAAAAAAAAAAAAAAAAAAAAAAAAAAAAAACCCCACAAAGGGAATATTGTGATTGACTTCTTTACTTAAATCACCTCCCCAATTTTCACTCATTAGAATCTTCAGCTATACAGGTGTTCTTAATTATGTTCTTTTGTCACTCAAGGAGGGATCTGTTTGGAAAGCCTTGTTTTTCTGAGCTAGAATCTGCAACTGTGCATAACACAGCTTTTAAGCACTCAGTCTCTACATTTTGTAACACATCAGTAAATTGACTTCTCAGACCTTGAGCAAGATCTGCATTATTCATGGAGTAACAGAGGCCTCTAACAAGGGCCCTATGGTGAGTGGTATGTCTATATAAGTAGCACAGAAGCTCTGTTATACAGCTCTACTGAAGTAAGGTTGATGGATGAACACCTGCCTGTAGTAGAGTTTTAGCTTTACTCTGGGAAACTAGAAAATATCTAAAGTTTCAACAGGACAATGAATGATGGAAAAATATAAGTTCAATGATTCCTATTACTAGACTCCAGGTACTATCTTATGTATTTCCACTTCATGCTTCTAGTCAAGCCCAAAAATAATATAAAATTAATTTCAAAGGGATGTGGCAGCATTTTAATTCTGTAAAAACAAAAGTCAGAGGTGAGATTCCTGGGCTAAGATATAACTAAGATCAATGAATTTACACCAGAGATTAATTTGGTCTTTCCTCCCACAATATGTGAAGTTTAGTCCATACATAGCTGAAATTGAATGTCAAGTTGATTTGACAGCTACCGCACATCCACTCAGAAAGAGGATGTGATTGTTTGCAACTGATCTCTGACATGCTAGTGTGTCTTTTGAAAGCATTCATTCTTGAAGTTTTTTATAGTATATTGCTATAGAACCAGGATTCAGCAATACTTCAAACAAACCCTGCTGGTGGTTCTTCCATGACAATCCACAGCTAATGGTACTGCCTTGGATTGTCTCTCTCTGCCAACTCAAGTTGTTTGTAATGTTTTGGGAAGTCTACTTACATTATCCTGCTGCACGTTTAATGCCATGTCCTCTTCCTTCAATTTCATCATGACATCTACATCCCTCTCGTAGTTTTTAACTTCGGTCAGGGTTCGAGGGATGTAAGCTTTCTTAAACACCTAACAGAGTGAAATGAAACAAGAAGCAGTTTCATTGATTTACATATAGTCCTGATTATAGGCCTCTTCCTTGGGAATCATCCTGATGGGTGTCTGCAATCAGACAACACCCAAAATTTAGAGATCCTACCTCACTGTCTTTGGCCAGCAGGAGATCGTCTCTTTGTTGTGGTGGGCCCTACAGAATGGAGCTCACCCATGACAACATCTTAAGATTTTATAATTAAGGTCTTGATAGCATGACTGCTATTGGCCACCTCTTTATGACCACCTCCATACATTGCCCCATCCTCACCATTAATTTGTTTGAAAGTTAAGGGGTTTATTTAAAAGGTCACACAGGAAGTTTGTGGCAGAGTAGGGAATTGAACCCAGATGTCCTGAGTCCCAGGTCAGTGCCTTAACTACTATATCACCCTTCCTCTCACAGTACAGGTACACTTAAATTATATATAAACAAAAACTTCATGCAAGTTACAGTAGTGGATCTCCTTACACAAGATGAGCTTGCAACAATAGAGAGTATGTAACGAGGCCCTCTCCTCTGACGTGCTGAGCCCCCACTGAAGCCAACAACACAGATGGACATACTTGAAGTTCTATTGTCTTCAGTGGGAGCTGAGGGTGCTCAGCACCTCACAGACTGGGCCTTTGGTTTATAAGCACACCAGCAGTTAGCTAAGGGACAAAGAGTGACCTGTTTTAAAAAAGTTCTTATCTGGTACAAAATGCCCCTCAATATACTAAATTCAGGTTTTATTGTAATCCATCACTTTGCTGCTGACAAGTTAAAAGAATCGAATCAAGACAGTGATTTTGTCTTATGCTCCCATACTAAACAATACTGCAAGTGCACCACACATCCTCAATGATGCAAAGAAAACAGACCTATGTTGTCTACTGCTGCATCAGAAATAAGCAGAGAGACAATATGACCATAATTAGAAGACCCAAATCAGAATCTGGGAGAGGGAGCTGGAATAGTTTTTCAGTCAATATGAACAACCGCAGGACAAAAACTGTTCACATCTTAACACTTTATGAATCCTCATTTTAGCAGATTATTTGCAGAAACTCAAAGATTTCCCCTTCATTGCTAGCTGGGTCCCTTGTGATGGCTAAGTTCAAGACCAGTTATAGCCAAGCATGTTGATCTAGGAAACATCCTAATGACACAGGTGATGCTGATCAGAGATTGCAAAGAAGATATCATGAGAAGCGTTTAGATAGCATATAAAGAACCATTTACTATCTGAAAGCCTCTCCACTTATCTCAGGATGTATCAATGTATTAAATGTAACATTCTGTGGATCAGGGTATCAAAGAGAACATTTCAAAAAGTCTTCAAAAGGGATACTGCAAAGATTCCCTCCTGGCAGAGGGAAAAAATCCTCACCTCCTCATCCACGTTATCTTGACTGGACCTTTCTTCCTCTGTTCTTTGGGTTGCTATTTCCATCGCCTACAGCAATATGAAATGCAATACAAAATCATCACTCTTCACAATCCAGTCCCTCATGCTGGATAATAATTCACCTAGCTGTTCCTACCTATCAGGGCCGGCTCTAGCTTTTTTGCTGCCCCAAGCAGCAAAAAAAAAAAA